GGTAATCTTATCACTATTCTGTTTTTTTTCCTTGCAGATCTTAGTGACGATGAGATTGAAGACATTTCTTTCAAAGTGGTTAGTTAGTTTGCCCCCTTGAATATACGAAATGCCCATATATTCTTCCCTTCTGCTATGATATCTACTATTTGTATTAAAACCAGAAACAAGATACCAAATTATGTCAGTCGACATTTGTTTGCATTGAATACTCTATTGACATCACAGGCTTGGCTGACTTACTTTTGGAGAAGAGCTAAAGAACACGGCGTGGAAGATGATATTGCAGATGATAGGCTTCAGTTATGGATAAGCCGTAGTGTGCAGACGCCAACTTGCCACGATGCTGTGGATGGTAAGCTTCATAATGATGAAATATCAACAGTGCCTAGATTCTTATTAATCGGTGATTCGGTAAATTGATGCCTACTAAACGGAGAAATAGAAATAGATTGGAAGACTTGTTTTCGTTTGGAATTTATAATTTCTATCGAATGTTGTTGCTGTAAATGAACGTATAAGTGCTTGTGGCAGCGGAGCGGGGTTTATATGAGCTGCGGAAGCTGGGGATAGAACAGCAACTTTGGGAAGCATCTCGTAAGGAAATCGATCAGCCCGTCTCGGCTTACAAATCTGCTGCAGCAGATTTTGACACCTCTTCATGATAGATGCTGCCTTCAGATGGTTTCTTATATCATTTCTTTTTTCTTTTTATACTATTTTTCACATGAAGTGTTAGTCCAAACTGCTAGCATCTCTCTCTCTCTCTCTCTCTCTCTCTCTCTCTCTCACACACTGGAGTTCCTGTATAATTAAACTGAGTTGGGATTGTAGTACATATATCACTCAATTTTTTTATGTAATCAAGTTCACATTTTTTTTTTCCCATTGCGAGGGTTTGCGAATCAGTAGCGAGTCATTTCTCCTCTCGTCTTTATACGGAATGAGATTTGCAATTGTTTCGGCCAATGAAACATGCCTGTCAAGATCTTTCGGGGACTCTTCAAATGGCTAGTACGAGTTCCTTTTGTGTACAACTGTTGGACGAAATGCTTACTCAGCAACTACGCCCAAGACGAGTAGACAAGACTAGGTAACAGGGTCTCGACAGCACTTGCCAGGGGCACTCAACAAGAGTCGGTAGTTGACATGTGTGCATTATGGCTTGTAGACAACGGTAGCCCACCAAGTGATCGACAAAATGCCAAAAGAAATTGCACACTTACATTGCGACACCTCAAAGTTGTAATCCTAGATGCTTGGAGCACTAGTGTTGTGTTTGGGTCGGTAAGTTACTGGTCCAGAGACCCAAAACAAGTTGAACGATGTTAAATTTGTGTTAGCACTGAGCGGTCCGAAACACTAAACTCCTCTCAATAGATAGCAGAAGCTTCCTAAAAAGAAGGGGAAAAGTCAATCGCCAAACGCAAAACAACATAAGCAACTCCTCTCAAAGCTAAAGCTGCTTCACAGCACCCCTAAATTGAGGATTATGTTTTATATGGTAGACAAGAAAAATGCTAAGAAGACTTTTTCAAAGTAGGAACCGTGAATTCTCTGTCGCCTCACAGCTTAACATTAATTCTCGTGCTAACATTATCAAACGTTGTGCAAAAAATATAAGATGATAAAGAATCTGTGAAAAATCTGATTTTTGAGAGAGTGGCCTTTTGACACTTCTAGGTAGACAAATAGAAGCAAAGTCCAAATTAAACTAAGCTTCTCTACAAGTTCAAGTCAACCGGCACTTACCACATTACCTTAAAAGAAGGAACTCAATAATATTTCCATTTTTTAAACAAAAGAAATATTATATCCTTCTTTTGGAAGCTATTTAAATATAGAAAAGTTGATTGTCTTTTCTCCACTATTAAAATTCCACCAAAAGGGGGGAATATATGTATATAAAAAAATAAAACAAATGAAGAAAAAAGGTGAAAACTTTGCTTTCATGCCAAGACAGTCAAGACTTTATAAAAATAAACTCTAATGTACACATTTTCCAACTGTGATGCTCCTAGCCACGGATTCGAATTCAGATTCTCTCATCTCTCATTATCTCTCTCCTTTAATTCCTTTTGATTTAAACGTTTACAATTAAGGAGTCCCTTGATGAGAAGGGTCTGAGGAAAGCTTGAATTCAGTTCTTATAGTGAAGCCACATTAACATTTTGTGTTAATTTTTTTATAGAGAGACAAAGAGAAAAGTGTGAGAGGAGAGGAGAGGATGAGATAAGAGGATAGAAAATTTGGACGGGAGAGAATCTAACCACTTCCCGTTTTTTATATTCCTCTTTTTTTTTTTTTTTTTTAATAAGCTATTCACACACCTATTTTTACCTCCGAAACACCCTTGTTAATTTTTAATCATTGATCTTCTTCAATTCATTTGATCAGACAACCAAAAATTGAAAGAGATGTGTGAAAAGTAAAAATAAATATGTAGATAACAATACCCTTTTTTATTTCTCTTTCCATTCTACGCAGGCTTAAAACAATGGAACCATGGAACAAATCAAAACATATCAAAGAAATTTAAACATTAATTCTTATGAAAGGATACAATTACCTTTGACAATTTATTTTTATTTTCCTCGACAAGGTAGCGGAAATTTAAACCTGAAATCTCTTCTATATTGAAAAGAATCATTAACCTAGGAGCTAATTAATAATGTTGAGCGCTTGTTAGATGCCAAAATTATGTCCTTAAAAATCAGAGAAAAGGCGTTGAAGCAATGATGAAGAAGACCAGCCATGTTCATGGAATATATATAAAATTGGGACCATATTATTTCCGCCATAACCAAAGTATGGTATGTGAATGTGACTTCATCATGAAGATTTTATCTTATGCTTAAACCTCATATCTAGGTTAAGATGCACATTGAGGACAATCATCCCGTTATTTCTTCAGTTGTAGTTACTTCATTTAGTCTTCACTTTATCGGAAGACATCTTAAAAAAATTATAGATGCTAGATGTTTTATTAGAAAGAGAGAATGCAATTGGTTGTATATTCGAGTTCATGTTGTAACTTTTTTATCTTGATAAAACAAGGGAATGTCACCCTAAAGTGTTGATCCTCTCCTTCAAAATCGAGGGTGACCACTTGCATCATGTGACTTCCACTAGAGAGTTAATCTTGTCTAATTTTTTATTTAAAATCAAATGAGAAGCTTAAAATGATCGATTTACAACCTCAACTGTTAAATTAACCAAAGTCAAATACTGATAGTATTTCAATCAAATATTGAAGAAATACGAATCAAATGCTAGCGATATTAACTAAATACCGAAAGGCATTTTTTTCAGTTATTGAAATTGAAATTTTAATTATTTCGGTCATGTTTAACATTACTTGTTGATTCTATTTGCTTGACTCGTTGATTCTTTATGTAAAGTCTTTTTCAAAGTTTTCCTAGGTCTTCCTCTACCCTTTTTCCCTAAGCCTCTGTCTCATAATTGGATTTTATAATAGAAACATCTATAGGTCTTCGGTTCACATGTTCAAACCACATTAACCAATTTTCTTTCATTATTTTCGATTGCAGCCACTCCCACTTTACCTCAAATATCTTCTTTCTTAATCATGTCATTTCTTGTGTGCCCACATATCCAACAAAGCATTCTCATCCTCTGCTACACTCATTTTTTGCACGTGTTGATGCTTGACCGCCCAACATTTTGTGCCATAAAGCGTTGTTATTGGCCTTATTGTTGTCCTATGCATATTTTTCCTTAAATTTTAGTGGCATACAATAGTGGCACGACACACCCAATGTATTATTTCACTTCATCCATCAAACTTATATTCTATGGTTGAGATCTTCATCTAATTCTCTATCCTTTTGAAAGATAGATCCATGATAACATAAGCGTTCACTCTTTAGTACTTCACAATCTCCAATCATCACTCCTATCTCATTTTAGACCCTCATTCTAACTAACTTGCACCATAGACTTAGTTTTTGACCTACAAATACTTTTAAACTCCATCACTTTTCACCAAAATGTAGACTTCGCATTTACTCCCTCTGATAACCATAAATAAAAAAAGGTGCGTAAACAATTAACAAAAAAAGTGTATAAATTAATCATTTTTTTCTCAAACAAAGTTACACTTTCATTTAACTAGTACCACCTTTCAAATCCGTGACTTGAGGGCTCAGTGGTCATTGGATGACCTGCAGAATCATTTGTTTAGAAATGGCACGCACTGCAATGTGTGTCGTCTTCTTTCAACAATTGAGTTTTACAGGAGTAGGCAGGTCAGTCAGGTCCCATTAGAATTTAGAAGCAAAATTACTTGTTGTTTGTGAAGCTCTGATGGTGTCTTTGTAGACCTGACCTGCATTTTTCTTTGATGGAAAGTATAGTCCACTGTAAAGCCACGTTCCATGGATCATGCTCAAAACTGTTACAGAAACAACAAAGCTTCGGCTTTCAAAAGACCAAACAGGTACAGACCAGATTCACTCCCTACACTCCAGTCATTGCGTCTCTCACACATCGCTTTCATCACCATTTCAGGCCTGCAATCAAAAAGCTAGGACTGTAATCATAATATAAAACAAGGTATGGCATTATGGCACGACAGTTGGCTGGGACAGCATGTCAGTCCTCTTACATTTGAGTTTCGATCATACTCTCTAGATTAGAGTAATTTAGAATAACGTTTTGTCAGACAAAATAATAAACAAGATATGACATAGAGTAATTTAGAATAACGTTTTGTCGGACAAAATAATAAACAAGATATGACATTTATATGAAAAGAATTTTCTTACAGAGGTCACAGTAACTGTATTTCAAATCAATCACACATTACTGCATAAAAAAATTAAAATGCATGTTGATTTGAGATACCGTTATACTAGCATTATTGTAGGTTAATCACATGGACATTATCGAGACAAAATCAAAACTTTGACAATACTTTTTTTGACTTTAAAGTACAACTACAAAGTCTACAATGGTTTAGGTAAGTTTCTCTCCATCTATATGGTCCCCCCACTCTCAACCCCAGGCCTCCACCGAGCAACATTCAACTCCTCTCTCTCTCTCTCTCTCTCTCTCTCTCTCTCCACTTCTGTAACCATGTTTTCTTCTCATACATGGAAGGCCATGGCAATGGCTGCGGCACTTGTACTTCAGACCTACTCTTCCATGGAGGTTGTTGAGTCCTCTTCTCACCACCATCCTGATCACAAGATAACCAGCCTTCCTGGACAACCCCATGTCGGATTCCAACAGTTTTCTGGTTACATTACTGTAGGACGATCACAACCATAAAGCTCTCTTTTACTACTTTGCTGAAGCAGAAATCAATCCAGCTTCAAAGCCTTTGGTCCTCTGGTTGAACGGAGGTCAGTAACCTAATTACTCCCCTTTATTACTTGCTTCAATGTAAATTAAACTTTGGACAACGTGGTTCCTTCATTTTTTTTCTAATTTATGGGTGGGATTCGAACTTGAATGAAAAGAGCGGACGCACTGCTCTGACCAATTGGCCTAACAACATTTGCAATGTGGTTCCTTCATTAATGTGTTATTTTTGTTTTCATGTAGGACCTGGTTGTTCTTCTCTTGGAGTAGGAGCATTCTCTGAGAATGGACCTTTTAGACCAGATGGTGAGGTCTTGGTTAGAAATGAGTACAGCTGGAATAGAGGTATTCACCGGTTTTAGTTTCCGTGTTCGATTCTCCCTTCCTCAATATCGCTTGTATATAAAAAAAGATGAGCATATGTAAGTAGCTGCATGATTTGGAAATTAGTACATTCATAATTTTGGCATTTGATATAATGCAGAGGCAAATATGTTGTATGTAGAGACACCAGTTGGAGTGGGATTCTCTTATTCTAAATCCAACTCCTCCTATATGGCAGTGGATGATGAGGCAACAGGTACATTATCCATGTTCTGTTCATCCTTTTTGCTTCTTTCTTGCTTTCTACTTTTCTCCTTTTGAAACTTATGGTTTTCCAAGTGGACTGCATTGAAGTTGCTTTGGCTTTTCAAGAAGTGACATGTTCAACCGTAATTCTTGGCTGAAATATCGGATTCAAATTGTGGGAATCCTAAGAATCCTTGCATCATATACGTTCATCGTATATTGTACGGTTAGAAATTATTTTGAATTTTTTATTTAAAATTAAATACAAATAGTATCTAATGAAAACTGATATCTACGATGATCGGCTACGATGTGAGGAGCCCCAAGATATCCCCACAAAGAGGATCTTCATCACTGTTACTTTTGCTTTCGACTCCCCCGAATAAGAGATTCTACCGCATAATCGGAATATATCAAATCTCGTGATAAGAGATATACAACAGTTAAACCCGAGATTTTGCCCCCAAGAGCTCAAAACTCTAGTATTAACAGCTCTTTTCACCTTTTTCCTTTCTTATGTTTCTTTGTTCCTAATTCATAATTTAGAACTTACGGTATTTGTGAATGCTGTTTCTGCATTTGACTTCTCAAGCCACGGACAATCTTGTATTCTTGCAACGCTGGTTCAACAAGTTCCCCCAATACAGGCACATGGATTTATTTCTAGCAGGAGAGAGTTACGCAGGTACTCTAAAAATTTATCCGTTTCCGAGAGTCGTTTGGAAAGAGCATTTTGGCATTTCTGCTTCATCCTTTTGCTTTTTCTTTTTCTTTTTCTTATTGTTTTTTTTTTTTTTTTGGTTGCTTATTATTAATTCCAGGTCACTACATCCCTCAACTTGCGAAGCTCATTGTTGAAATCAACAGAAAGGAGAAGTTCAATCTAAAAGGAATTGCTGTGAGTAGAAAGTACTTTTACTGAAATTAACACTTGCCACTCAGAAAGTTCAATAACTTCATGAGGTCTTGCAGCTGGGAAATCCTGTTCTAGAATTTGCCACGGACTTGAATTCGCAGGCTGAGTTCCTTTGGTCTCACGGGCTGATATCCGATTCAACATACAACATGTTCACTTCTGTCTGTAACTATTCGCGCTATGTGAGCGAGTACTACAGACACTCGGTCTCACCTGTTTGCTCAAGGGTTATGAGCCAAGTGACCAAGGAAACAAGTCAATTTGTGGACAAGTATGATGTAACCCTAGATGTCTGTATTTCATCTGTGCTTTCACAATCCAAGTTTATAAGCCCCAATGTAAGCCTAATTCTCCTCCTTAACGTTTTGTTACACCCTTTTTCTCCGTCTGCACATTCCTAATAAATCAAGCGATATTCAAAGAACATAAATAAATAGGAGTGCGTAGACAGAAAAAAGGAGTGCACGGAGATCATTTCCATTTTTTCTGAATTTTTTTTCTCATTACGCATGTGCTTCTTCACATTATGTGGCTGCAGCAAATGACTGAGAGGATAGATGTGTGTGTTGAAGACAAAACTGTGAATTATTTGAACCGGAAAGATGTGCAAAAGGCTCTCCATGCGCGGCTTGTTGGCGTGCGCAGATGGGATGTTTGCAGCAGGTAATTAAATTCTTTTTAGTTGAGATTAAAGAAAAAGCTGATGTAGTAATTCTGTACAAATACAATTTAAGCAGCTACTAATAGAAATTTCATACTTTTGCTGCATATATTGATCCTATAGCATTTTGGAGTACCAAATGCTCAACCTGGAAGTACCTACAATCTCATTAGTTGGATCGCTTGTGAAGCAAGGCATCCAAGTCTTGGTGTACAGGTAACTAAATTTCAGTTTCACCTGCTATATGGATACTTCTTGCTGCTATAAAACAAACTCATAAATTTTCTAAATTCAGTGGAGATCAGGATTCTGTAATTCCATTAACGGGAAGCCGAAGATTGGTCTCTAGATTGGCAAGGGAGTTAGAATTGAACACCACTGTCCCTTATCGAGTTTGGTTCGAGGGAAAGCAGGTATATATATTCTAGGAATTTATTTGTAATGAAAAATGAGTAAGGAAAATCGGGTTTTATGCGATTTCTTCTTGTTCCGTCCAGGTTGGTGGGTGGACGCAAGTTTATGGAAACATTCTGTCATTTGCCACCATCAGAGGTGCCTCTCATGAAGCTCCATTCTCGCAGCCTGAGAGATCACTGAGGCTATTTAAGTCATTTCTGGAAGGCAGGCCTCTGCCTGAAGTTTTCTGATACAACTGTTTGGTCCATGGTGTTCGAGTTTGAAGAGATCTTTCAATTGCAAGAAGAAAGGTTCTAAAAATAAATAAATAAAATTGCAAAAAGAAAAGAGGGAGATTTTGTGTTTGTTTGGTGGATTTTGTAAATGTAATATTGACTGTTTGGGAGGACGAGTTTTGATGCAACAGAAAGTTTGTTCCTTTGTGACCAAAAGATCATGAGTTTGAGTCGTAAAAACAACATTTTTACAAAGCAAAGATAAGGCTGTGTATGATAAACGTTTCGCCCGACCCTCGCAAAGTGAGCAGCCAGGGTTGCCCTTTAATATTGACTGTTTGGATTGCAAATTTTTTGACCTTGACTTGAGCCAATATCAAGGGTTCGATGGAAACTTTGGGTAAGTGATTATTCACAATCCCTTTCTCCTTGCCTTTTCCCTTAAAATTGAATAAATCAAATAAAAATTAGTATAAAATAACATAGCGAGAAGTGATGAAAAAGATTACTGAGCGTGAAAATCACAACATAAGTTTTGTTAAGAGGAGTGAAAATCACAGCATACTAAAAAAACACAACTTAAGTTTTGTTAAGGCAATTTCCCCACCCTTTCTTTCATAATTTGACTTCTATCTCACTCTCTCTCTCTCTCTCTCTCTCTCCACCGTATAACAACAACGCATAGTTTTCAAAACAGCAAAACAAACTGAAAAGGCGCCAACTTCCAACGATCCCGCATTCTCTTTCTTAAAAAAGCCAACTCCTTTTTTTATTTCTTGAATTATGCTTTATCCTCCTCTGCAGCTCTCTCTCCCTCTCTCTCCAACTGCTTCAAGTCTCTCTGTCCTCCTCCCATTTTTTTCATTTTCTAAAGAAAAACCCCAACATCCCAAAAATAAACATTATGGCAAAAGAGCAAAGCCAGGAACCTGCACTCACCAACCCTCTGCAGCTCCAGGTGTTTTCCTCCCTTCCCCTTATCTTTCCTTCCTTTTTATTAAAACCCAGATCGTTAAAATCTCAGATTGCGCCTAATTTGAATGCCATTCGCGTTTATCTGATGTTTTGGAATCTGGGGTTTCTCTGCATTGTGTAAATTTTGCATCTTTTTATTTTATTTTATTTTATTTTTTTTTTTGGGAAAAAATGAGTAAACTTGGGGGTTTCCGATTTCATATTTTGTAATTTATATGCTGGAATTACAGGACAAGGAATTGGACCCCGGTTCTGACGAGCCTGAGGCCCCTTTGCCTCTCACCGTCACTTCCCGGGTTAGTAACTTGTATAATTTGCCGCATTTTTATTGGAATGCTTATGTTGTAGTACGATTTTGCATCGAAAGGTAGTGGTTGAACTTTTGAGAAACAAAAATGAAATTTAGTCATGGATGTTTGGGGGTGCATTGGGAATGCAGGCCTTGTATATGTTGGGCGACATTGCCGCAGGGCAGGCATATAGAATCACGCAATGGATGGAACTGGTTCGTAAACGGAGTGCCAAATATCACTCCTCTGGCTTCCCCCACCACCTTCCGAGTTTCGACAGTATGCCTTCTAGGTCTGTTTCAATTTTTGTGTTATCTTACGTTGAAATGTGGTTACAATGTTCGGTAGTAGTCATCACGGTGGCCATTCAGTGTAGGAGACTTTGTTGATGATTGGGAAGGTTCTCTTCCCTGTGAGCAAACCACGGAAGTCAATCTCTGGGAAAGACTTGGTAAAGCTGCTGCATTGGACATTGAGTCGTGTTATTTTTCCTGGGATAGGCTCTCTTCGCTTCATCACACTGAGCATAGTAGTAGCAATGACAATTCTGAGGATGAAATGAATAAAGCTCTTGAGGTGTGCAATCTAAATTAACTACATTGTATGGAATTCTTGTTATGTTTACTGGATTGAATCACTGAATCAGTATGTACGTCATTATTTATATTCTTATTTGCTTCCCTGTAATCTCTTCAGTTGTGTGCATATAGGTAACCGTAAATTCAGGGGGCGTTGTCTTCTTTGGCCTATTCAACCAGCCAGGGAATGATGATGCTTCTACTAAGGAAGCGGCGGCTGTTATAAAGATTTCATCATCAAGAATGGCCACACAATCTGAACGCCTTGGATATGAATTTGCAAAGTGGCTTGGAGTTCGAACTCCTCAGGTAGTACATTGTCACTCAACTCTCTCCTGCGATAATATCATATCTACCATAATACATATATGCTTTGTCTGTTGGATATTGCAGGCCAGAGTCATTCATAATTGTAGCTTGGAGTGGCTGCAGATGAAGGAAGCTGCAGAGAAAGCAAGAGATGCAGCAAGTTCAGAAGGAGATGAATGTGGGGAAATGACGTGCTCAGAACTTTTGGAAGCTCTTGAACTTAGCCGGTGCCTTTTGCTCATAAGGTCTAACTATAATCTTAGTAGTCTCTATTTCTAACGTAGTTAAGGAGTTAATTCTGCATTATGAAATGTTTGTGCTTCGTTCACCATCGAGCATGCACAGTAACTAGTTAGAGTTGTGGCAAAAACTTGTTTTGATTGCTCGGGTCATTTTGCATGCAGTTAAATTGTTCCCTAGGTTTTCAAGAACCTGATCTCTGCCCCACTCCTTGTATGCTTTTAACAGAAACTAAATGAGGAAGCATCATGTTCCACGATGTGGACCACTAGAAAACGCTTCCTAGTAGATAACTGGTCCTTTTATATGGTGTTCTGAAGGCCAAAGCTTTAATTTTTGCAGCTATGTTCAGGGATCTCCTTTACTTGAAAGCCCAACTGTATTTGAGTCGAGGGAAACTGCAGAAAAAACAGCGGCTGCTCTTGGTAGGATCTTGATGTTGGATCTTGTCATCAGAAATGAGGATAGGCTTCCTTGCCATAAGCTCAGATGGCGTGGAAATTCCGCAAATCTATTGTTGGCTGACAAAATGGCTTTGGGAAATATGGATAGATTGGAGGAAGCCTTCGATTGTGCAATCAAGCGATACAAACCAAGAGTAATCAGAGGTCTTCATAAGGATAGAAGGGCAACTTCAGTAGATAGCAAATTGGGTACTCATAATGCCGTAACAGTAACACAGACCTCTGATCTTTCAGATATTATAGAGTCACCAAGATCTATACAGAGTGAACTATCAGATCATTCGGTGTTTTCTGATTTTCCAGTTGTGGCTATTGACTCTGGGGTTCCTCGTCGACCTCCTGCTGGAAAGCGCGCAAATGATCAGGAAATTTATCCCAGGTTGGTTGAGTTACTACTCAACAGTTCTGAGTACTCCTCTAATGTGTTGCATGAAATAACATTAGGGAAGTTAGGACGTTCTACCATACAAGAAACTGATGCATCTGATATACCAGCGTATGAGATGGCTTCAGTTGTTAAAAAATTTCGTAGTGGATTCCGAGCTGCTCTTAGGGATCTGCAGGGATTCCATATATTCTTACTCACACTTCATCAAAGACTGGAAAACTTGTTAAGAATATTCTTCAATATTATAGATAGAATATCCTCAGGGGAGTCCGACAAAGAGGATTTGGCAGTTCCTGGGTCTCCCTCTCATGCTGCTGGAAGTGTTCATTGTGCTTCTGCACCAAGTAAGGAACGACTTGTCAATGAGAACAATCCTGATTTTAGTGATTCCGAGTCACAGAGAACTGCTCTAAGGTCTTCGTCTTCTGGAAATAAAGAAGGCTATGACTGCAGCTCTCCCATGTCAAGGGATAGTTGGCATGGGAGGTTCTCTAAAGGAAGTGCGGAGCCCCTCAGTAGTCTGCGTTTGACAGCAAAGCTTCGGGACTTTCATAAATACGCCAAGGTTGGACATCCTTAAAGCAAACTAAAATTTTCTTATATGATACCGCAGATGAGGAAACAGAAAGTCGTTTCTTGATACATAGTTTCTCTTAAACTTCGATATATTACAATGCTCAGGTTGATGCTGAATCAAACAAAGAACTGGAACAGTGGAATGAAATGCTAAAGAGTGATGCTATCAAACTATGTCAAGAGAACAATTTTAATTCTGGGTTTTTCGAGGGCAGTGACAACAATGGTGTTGTTGATGCTTATGAATTGAAGGTATATTTGTCCCTTCTTTCCTTTTCTGTTTTGTTATTCCTTTCCTTTCTCTTTCTTGTAAACATTTCTCTATAACGAACAGGTCAGACTTGAGCACATTCTTGAGAGGATTGCATTGATATCGGAGGCTGCAAATACAGAGAGGCCATCTCGAGTCACAAGTTGCATGTTCATCGGTGGAGCCTTGGCTGCACGATCTGTATTCACGCTACAACGCTTAGGAATTACTCATGTATTGTGTTTGTGCTCCAATGAAATTGGACAAGCAGATTCTCAGTTTCCTGATCTATTCGAGTACAAGAATTTTGCTGTAAGGGTTCTTTCTCATCAGTGTTTACACATCCAAATAAGCATATGTGAACGTTGTCTAATGACATCTTCTCTCCCAGAATCCATGCTCACCATTTAATTTGGTGAAGTTTCTGTTTTTAATGTTTTAAAAATTTAATCCCCAACTCTGCATGTATTTTATTGCTTTCATAAAATGTTTGGCACCTGCATTGTCCTGCTTAGACTGCACACCTCCTTTGAACAGATATGCGACAATGACGATACAAATATCAGCACCATCTTTGACGAAGCTATCAGTTTTACTGATCGTGTTGAACAAGAAAGAGGGAAGTTCTCGTCCATTGCTTCGAGGGGAAAAGTAGAAGTGCCACCCTAGTGCTTGCATACCTAATGCTGAGAAAGTAAGTAAAATCTGTTATACTCATCGTAGAACATATATTACACTCCTCATACACATGTGGCATCAACAGATCTTCAATACCCGTATTGCTTTTATTGGTGTAAATTGTGATTCCAACAATATTACTTTGAGAAATGTTTAGCTAAGTAATCTTTCTGTGGTGCAGGAATTGCACTCTATTTGAGGCGTGGAATTCTCTAAAACAAGTTCATCGTCGGGCGCAACCCAATGATGGTTTTGCAAAGATCCTAGTGGATCTGGATAAGAAACTTCATGGGAGAGTTTCCATGGAGTGGCAACAGCGGAAGCCTACGATGAAAGTTTGCCCCATCTGCGGGGTAAATGCAGGTCTTAGTAGCAGCTCGCTTAAGCTTCATCTGCAGAAATCACACAAGAAGCTATCGTCAGGTAGTGTCGATAGTGCAATGACAATGGAGATACAAAAGGCCTTGACAGCGCTAAAAATTAGCCGAGGCGGAAGCATCATCCCTAAACAGAGGTCTCATTCAGATGTTGAAGATTAGGGATCTCCCAGGCCTCCTCTTTATAAGGTGCTTTTGGAGGTCAAGGACTTATGGTTGCAGAAATGTGGCTGGCCATTCATGTAGATATAAATATACAGATTGTAGAGTTTGCCTGGTAATCAAGAAGATTGTAGATTGTCAGACAAGTTAGGCATGTATATTGGCAGTGCCATGCACTGTGTTTCTTACAAAGCGATATTATAATGTACTCTAATTTACGGGTGAAGGGATTCGAACAGAGATGTAAAGGGCAGGCGCACTGGCCTAACCCGCGTCTGCGAGCAAGCACAGTTTTTCAAGTGTACATAGATGAATATCAGCAGCAACTACCCTTTTTTAACTCAAAATCGTTTCATTTCCACGTTAATAATTCATGTTACAGGAGCGCTCAAACACTAACAGTTGGTGACTTGAATATTTCGTACCAGTAATCATTCTTGTAAAAACTCACTCAAATTAGCCATTATTTTGGTAGACATTTCATTGTTTATCGACAATGTTGTGTTCGTCTATTTAACTACTTTGTCAGAGACTCTTTCAATAATAACTTGACAAATATCAGTTCAAACTATGAGAAATATCAGAGAGTAAAGTGGGCCGAAACGCTAGAGATGTTACTAACTGATTAACGCTTGATCAAACTTCATGTCACATGGCAGCACACAACTTCTCAGAGGCATAGAAGTTTAACAGTTGAAAATTTTATTAAAAATACCAACACTGAACCACCACACGAGGTGTAAAAAGAGAAGTCTAATTCTACTATTTGGGAAACTGAAGTATGGAATTGCTATTTTTCTGTATTGAACTGGTACAGCCTTGAACATTCAGGCGATGAACCATTAAACAAACAGCTTTCGATTGCCGCTACCGACTAGTCCTTTTCGACATTAAAACATACTACGTTCAATGGCCAAAGTGCAAATGAAAAATAGATGCAGACATATTGCCAACAGATCAACGACATGCGCCTACGTTAACTCTTCAAACGGGAATCGGCTCTGGCAAGGACTCGGGAGAACCGCTGCTGCCGTTTAGCACGGTCACGTTGCCATCAGAATCGACGTCCACAATGACTGAGTCGCCTTCTTTGATCTCCCTTGCAAGCATCTTCTCAGCCATGCTGTCCTCCAACAGTCTCATGATCGCTCTTCTTAGAGGCCTGGCTCCGTAGCTCGGGTTGTATCCTTCGTCAACCACTCTGTCTCTGAACCTCTCCGTCACTTGAAGCTCTATCTCCTTCTTCTTCAACCTTTCGAATACCTCCTTGAGCATTATATCTGCTATATCCTTTACCTCCAGCTTGGTGAGTTGACGGAAAACAATCATTTCGTCCAACCTGTTCAAGAACTCGGGTCTGAAGTATTGTTTTAGTTCCTCTGTCACCAAGCTCTTAATTCTATTGTAACTGCTATCCTTCTCATCATAATCAAGGTCAAATCCTATGCGTCGGCCTCCCTTCTCAATAACACTGCTTCCGACGTTAGATGTCATTATCAGAAGTGTATTCTTGAAATCCACGGTTCTGCCCTTGCTGTCGGTTAATCTTCCATCCTCGAGTATTTGAAGCATCATGTTGAAGACATCGGGATGTGCCTTCTCAATTTCATCAAAAAGCACCACAGTGTAAGGACGGCGTCGAACGGCTTCAGTCAGCTGACCTCCCTCGGTGTAACCAACATAACCCGGGGGAGAACCAATGAGCTTGGAAACAGTGTGCCTCTCCATAAACTCACTCATATCAAGCCGAATCATGGCTTCTTCAGAACCAAAGTAGTAAGCAGCCAATGCTTTTGCGAGCTCAGATTTCCCAACACCAGTTGGACCAGAAAAGATGAAACTGGCAATAGGACGATTAGGATTCTTCAGTCCAACACGGGCTCGGCGAATAGCACGACTAATAGCCTTGACTGCTTCATCCTGACCAATCACTCGCTTATGGAGGGTCTCTTCCATCTTGAGGAGGCGGTCTGATTCATCGGTGGACACTTTCTCAACTGGAATTCCAGTCCAGGAGGACACAATATGTTGAATATCCACTTCAGTCACGAGAGGACCTACATCTCCTGCCTCACTCTCTGCCTTGCTCATCTCCTTGCCTTTATCAACAACAGCTGTGATCTGTGCCTTTAGGTCCATTTCTTTGTCACGTAACTCCCCAGCCTGTCCAAAATGCATGTTGTCAGCTCAACTTACGCAAGTTTTTTTAAGCCACAGGCCTAACAGATGATGATATTTGACAGTCTTAATCTACCATCAGAAACCCCATTAACTCTGAAATCAATTTTACAACAGAAGTGCATTCAGAAACAGAGTTCTGTACCTTTTCAAAGTCTTGGCTTCTAACAGCCTCGTTCTTCTCTTTAGTGATTGCCCTCAGCTCTTTCTCAAGCTCTCTAGCTTCTTCAGGTAGCTGTAAAAATCATTTAGCATGTCCCCATCATTACAAAATCCCTGAGCTTAAGAAGATGGTGGCTATCAAAACTTAGAAATGGTCATACTCATACCTGTGCATGACGAAGGCGAACTCGAGAACCAGCTTCATCAATCAAGTCAATTGCCTTATCAGGCAGAAAGCGATCACTGAAGTATACACAATTATCAATCAGAACAGAAATATTCGAGTACACATGCATAGGGGAAGAGACAGGTAGCTAGCACCATAAGAAACAAACAGAAAAGTGGAGACCAACTAATTTCTACGGATTGGTTATGCGGAGGGAATGCAAACAATAACAAAGGACATTTGTACTCATCAAAACACTGTCAACATTTAATTAGTTTTAATAAGCATCAACAGTATCCAGCATTAGCAACATTACACATAGAAGTAGGGATGCCTACCTGATGTACTGGTATGATAGCTGAGCAGCAGATACCAGGGCTTCATCAGTGTAGCGGAGCTTGTGGTGAATCTCGTAACGCTCTCTAAGCCCTCTCAAAATTTGAATGGTTTCATCCACGGTTGGTTCAGGAACTTTGACTGGTTGGAATCGCCTTTCCAATGCTGGATCTTTCTCAATGTGCTTTCTGTATTCATCAAGAGTTGTGGCTCCAATACACTGTACCAATAGAGATGAAACTTACTATTCGGATTCAAATGTAAACAGCAGCAAGCTAATATAATGTAGCAAATATATCATTCCTGAATCGTCAGAATTCAAAGAGCACAAAACAAATGAAAAGCTCAACTCCCCAGACAATAAAATCTATAACTGCATCCTCCAGTTAACAAATACATATGTGTTCAATATACATACACGATATTTGTTCAGGTAAAAAAAAACAAAAAATGGTTTGAATACTTTTTATCCGTACATCACTTTTTTAATATTACGATTATTACCTGCAGTTCACCTCTTGCAAGAGCTGGTTTTAATATATTTGCGGCATCAATTGCCCCTTCAGCTGCTCCTGCTCCAATTAAAGTGTGCACCTCATCAATAAACAAAATAATCTCATCACTTTGTTTGATTTCCTCCATTAGCTTCTTTAATCTTTCCTCAAACTCTCCACGGTACTTTGTACCAGCAACAAGAAGGCCCATATCCAGAGTTATAACCTAGACAGTTTTAAGAAGGAGAAAAGGTCAAACGTATTATTACATTGCTTCTCAAGATAATAACTTGATATACTGAAATAGAAGGAACGGTTCCAAATAAGTTTTAACCTATTCAGAATTATAACTAAACTCTCACCCACCTTCTTTCCCTCTATTGTTTCTGGAACATCACCAGTTGCAATCCGTTGAGCAAGACCTTCTGCAATTGCAGTCTTCCCAACACCAGGTTCTCCAATAAGGCAGGGATTATTCTTGGTCCTCCTACCCAAAATTTGGACGACACGTTCAATTTGTGGTTGTCTTCCAACAACAGGATCCAACTTACCCTGTGAATTGAAGAAAAAGTATCTTAAAAACGAACCTTGACACAAAAACAAAACATCTAAAGCAGCGCACATTCTACAACATGACAAAGGAAAAAAGGAATAAACGAGTTCAATACCTCCTCCGCTAGCTTAGTCAAATTGGTCCCGTATTCTTCTAGAGTCGGCATTTTATTACCACTGGTCCCTCCTCCAACACCAGCACCAACAGCTTCTGTGCTCTCACCAACCATACGAATAACCTGCCCGCACCAAGAACGTTTTTATGGTTACTTTCAGTTCTGATAATGAATTTCTTCAAAAAAAATCACTAAACAAGGATGCTATTCTTGCCTGTGTGCGAATGTTACTAGGATCAGCACCTAAATTCTCAAGAACACGAGCTGCTACACCCTCACCCTCCCGAAGCAATCCCAGAAGCAAATGCTCGGAGCCAATATAGTTATGACCTGAAATCCATCATTTATGAACTGTATAACACAAAATTGGATGTATAGCAGAGAAACAAAAAAAGAAAAAAGAGTTATCAACTTGCATTGAGATCATATTTCTGCCTTCAATTCATGTATGATCACTACACTTCAATTGAAATATGGATTCACTCCACAAGGATTACGTTTGATGCCAAACAGCCTATATAAATTTTGTTCCACCTAAATTAAATGAAGGTTTACACATCGCAATTACTAGGAAAACCAAGTAAATAAAGGCAGGATGCCCTTCAAGGAGAAAAAGGATGCTTCTTATTAGTTTAACTTTATATCAATGTTTTTGAGGCATTTGGTGAACAGGAGGAAGAGAAAAGAAGGTACCAAGTTGACGAGCTTCCTCCAGTGACAGCTCCAAAACTCGCTTTGCACGAGGAGTGAATGGAATTTCAACAGCAACAAATCCACTACCCCTTCCAATTATCTTTTCCACTTCAACTCGTGCATCTTTAAGATTGATTCCCATGGATTTGAGAACCTTGGCGGCAATACCGGTCCCTTCACCAATAAGACCCAAAAGTATCTGCTCAGTACCAACAAAATTATGACCTAGTCCGCCTTGCTTCCTCTTGTGCAAGCATAATTACTTTAATTGCTTTTTCTGTGAAGCGCTCAAACATGGCTTTAGGCACACATCTGCTTGCTCGTTCACGACGTTTAGTGTTTGCGAATTTCACCGTCGAAAATAAGTTATGCCTGGGTTTTACGCTAACATCTAAAGCATTAACACTCCGGAGTCCTGTGTAACTGCTCATTCTCAATGCAGGTGCTCGTAAAGTACAGAACATGACTGTCCTTCTGGCATTCCCAGACCCCTTAGAGTAGCCAAGCCTTCTCCCGGTTGCCACACTTGGAATATAAGTAGACTGAACCAGATTCCTCGCCATGATTCCAACCTATTCCGCATTCAGCAACGACCAAACAAAGATTTAGTTCACAATTCAAGACATCCATAGAGACACAAACTCAACATACAGATTTCACTAATAACAGAATTATGCTACGCGCATCAAACTACGGAGATTTACGCAGCAATATTCACACCAGTAAGATTACTACTCAAGGTACAGAAATGTCCTCTCTCCCATTAGAATAAAACATATGTATCGACTTACTCAAAAGTAACTATAACTACAAAATTGAGAAATCCTTTTCACTCCATTTTCGCTATCAACGAAACATAAAGTTCAAGCCTTTCATCCATTTTAGTCTCCAAACCAAGCATGTAAAGCTCAAACATCAAAACCCAACAACAATTACATTCATATAACATTAAAATCTACAGACTTCGTGAATTACAACAGTACAAAAAAGTTCAGAAACATAGTAACCACAAAAACAACGGATCCCAGATTCAAAACATCAGATACCCATGTTACAACAACAACAACATAAAAACATTAACAAATCCGAAACTCGAACATAAGAAGCAGATTTCACTCACAACAGATAAGAACAATCGACTAAAAGGGGAAGACCCCAGAAAACCCAGATTCCAGATAAACCTAGGCAGAAGTACAAAAACCCTAACTTTTCACGCACAGAAGCAGTGAATCCAAAAGGGTAAACAGATTGAAAAGAAAAGCTCACCTAAAACCCCGTTATCTGGATAAACTTTCGAATTGAAATATTAAAAACGGAATTTATAGAGAGAGAAAGAGAGGAGAGAGAGAGGGTCTTTCTTCGGAGACGAAGAGAGAGACCCTATTCTTAGTATGATATGGTCGGCCGAAAGAGGAAGAGATAGGTGTGGTCTTAAGAGAAGCTCTCTCTCTCTCTCTCTCTCTCTCTAAAACTCTCTGTCTCTCTCTCTATAAATTGATAAATCAATCTGTTGGCCTTTTTTCTTCCACATGACGGTGCATCAGCTTTCGTGCACCGTTGCGTACACGATAACGTACAGAACACCGCTAACCTACAACCACGAGTGATCGACGGCAGAGATCTACGACACGTCGTTTAATAGTGTGAGATTGTGGCTTCGAGTGGGCCCACCGGCCTTATCTGTAACCAATGTGATGTTAGCGCAGTCCCCATCTTGACCCTCAGATATTTCGTCGGATGACGGTTTTACCCTTGCTACGCTTCAACTTCATTCGCCAGAAATATTCCGTGAAATATCAATACGCCGCGTTTTGATGGTATCACAGTCGTACACGAGACCAATTGCTTAAGCTTCCTTCAAATTCTTTTTTTTTTTTTAATTCATAATGTTATTTGCACTAAAAATTATTTATAATTTTAGTTCATTTGTGAGGTAAATTCTACAACTCACTTTGTAATTGTAATACGTAAAAATGTTTGTGCTTGTTTGGAATGTTTTTATGATGATTAAGCGTTTCAAATAACATTTGATTAAAAATAAGTTAAAATGTTTGGTAGGTTATAAAATAAACAGAATCTGCTTACAATAAGCACCTCCAAGTACTTTTTTCGAAAACACATCAATTATTAATAAAAATTGGAACATCTTTTCAAAAAATAGTTTTGAGAAGTTTTTTCGTATGGGCTTTCAGCGGGTTGGATTGAATAATATGTTGGAGTGGTCAATTTTTTTTTAAGTTTAGTCTCAATATTTATAAGCTTACTAACGGTTATAACAGTAACTGACGAATTTCCCTAGTAGTTAGGGTCTTCCTCTTCAATCCGTTGTGTTCCGAAATCAAATTCTCTCATCTCTTTAGTGTAATTTAAAGTAGGAACATCAATTGTATTACAATAAAATGTTAATAGAGAGACCATATTTAATAGAAACAATATCTACTTGTATTGTAGACCTTATCACTATTAGAGAAAGATCAATGATTAGGATGCGTTTTGTTGATTGTACATGTAAGAAATACAAAAAGTAATAAAACTTATGTTTTGAAAACAAACGTACCAAAAATTTAAATGTACCAAGAAGCTAAATGGACCAAAAATTCAAATGTAACAAGTAACTAAATATATCATTATAATCAAATGTACCGATATAACAAAACGTACCTAAAAACGAGTTTTGTTACATTCTATCTAATTTACTAAAATAAATATTTTAATAAAAAATAAAAAAATCTTAAATCATCATAATAAGAGATACATAAAAATAGAAGGAAAAAAGGGAATGCTAACGTGAATAGACTTCTAATGAAATAAAATTAAAGTACCAAAATTGTAGGGAAAATGTTTAATCAAATTTGCAAAAAGAATAGATGTTCAGTTTATGACATTTAAAAACGAAGCGTCTATATCAAAATGTCTCATTTTTTTAAGTTGCAAAAAGTCCGGTGCAACAAACGTACTCTAAAAGAAACAAAAACTGCTTACAATAAGCACCTCCAAGTGTTTTTTTCGAAAACACATCAATTATTAATAAAAATTGGAACATCTTTTTAAAAAAATAGTTTTGAGAAGTTTTTTCGTATGGGCTTTCAGCGGTTGGGTTGAACAATACGTTGAATTGTTGTTCAATTTTTTTAAGTTTAGTCTCAATATTTATAAGCTTACTAACTGTTATAAAAGTAACTAGCGAATTGCCCTAGTAGTTAGGGTCTTTCTCTTTAATCTGTTGTATTTCGAAATCAAACTGTCTCATCTCTTTAGTGTAATTTAAAATAGGAACATCGATATTAAAATAAAATAGTAATAGAGAGACCACATTTAATAGAAACGAGATCTACCTTACCACTATTAGAGAAAGATCAATGATTAGGAAACGCTTTGTTGTTTGTACATATAAGAAATATATCATAAAATATTTAGGGAAATAGGTCCTCTCTGGATCCCTTTCCACCTAATCCACTTAGATCGGAATCTGGGTTGTTAAAATTTGATCAAACGGCTACAAATATGGGGTTTCTTCAAAGTGATAATAACTGTAACTGTTTAATCAAATTTAAATAGCCTGAATCGCGAATTAGGTGAAAAATGATATGCGGAAGATCCCTTTCCAATATTTAGGAGTGCTGGGGTCGGCAGCCTTTGTTTTGGCCTTGTTGTCAATTCGGCGACCATAACTTTGTGTGTATTATTTAAGTTTGTTCTTTCTTTTGTAGGCTTATGGAGGTGCTAGATTTTTGGGCTAATTGGGCCAAGGAGACTCAGCCCACTTTGTAGTCTATGTCAAATTCAAGATGGTCCAAAAGTGGGCCGGTCAAGATTTGTTTGTGGGTTTTGACAAAAAAAAAAAAAAAGAAGATGTTTGTGGGCTTCTCAGGCCTTTTAAAGTTGGGCCAAAATAAAGAGAATTATTATTAACACTTCAAAAATCTCATTCTACACTCTTACAAGTGTATTTTTCTTTCTAATTATAGAAAGTTTGGAGTGCCAAATGAGACTTTTAGAGTGTTAATAACAATTCCCCAAATAAATAATCCTTTTTTCGAACTTCTCTTTTCTGCGCAGAAATTATAGTTTGAAGTATTTGGACTAAGATGAGGAATTTAATATCACATATGAAGGGATGAGAATCATGGAATAAGGAAGGAAATCGAACTTTTGACTAAGTTTACCCCATATCTTATTTCTCACTCACCTTCGCCCCTTGGGATAACCCTAAGAACAATTTACGAGTAAGATACAACTAACATAGTATCGCTTTTAGATTGTGACAATGCAACACTTGTAAGCGTAACAATGTAACATCTCACCACATACATGTCATATCGTCTTACAATTAATACTATTACTACCCTAATAGAGTCATATATCTTTACCATACAAACTTCTTCATGGTTTTATCCAAAGTAGCCAATTTGTGCATCACCAATAGATTTCATCGTTTTCTCGATCCCCTCGGTGTGTTGTTGGCCACTTTGAAGGAATGCTACGCTCGACGGCTCAACCCGAACTACTCCGAAGCGACGTAGCTCGTTATGGTCAAATGAAAAAGCATAGGGCCGGCATGGGATGTCCGTGTAAATAATTTCCTAAGTTGGGATGTTATAGTATAAAAGAACGTTTCTCTTGCAAGTACTAAGTAACACCCTAAATAATAAGGGCAGCCTTTTGATGCCAATGGGACAATGTCCATATAGCTCACGAGGATAGTCCTTGAATATTAAAGGCAGCCTTACCCTTGCCATCTTGCAATTGCAATATTATTCTTGCCGGCCCCTCTCCTTCCACTTTTACATCTGTGTACATTTTACATTAATTACACTTTCATTGTGGTCCATAATTTTAATTTCCACTTGTCCTTTGCTTTATTTTGTAGATTTAGTGGGTCCCCTTGTAAATAATTTTTTGTTTTATATACATTTATTTACCATTTTGAATTCAAGTTTCAAAAAATTTCTACGTTTTGGGAGTTGAGGTTAATGAGACTGAATTAGAATAGGTCAAGAGTTCGATCTCTCCAATGTACTAGAAAAGTATTAAGCTTGATTTGATGAACTTTGGGTTTATAAGGTAATCGAGCTCATAAGCAACGGTCAACTCTAATTTGATTTGGTTGGGTATTTCTTAACTTGGAGATAAACTTGTTTAAGGCTGCGTGATTAGAGTAATTCTCACATCTGATAAAACCAAGGTCATTTTTAAATGAGACTAAAATACATAAGATCTCATGTCGGCAAAAGTAAAAGGTGGAGAATCCTTAAAAAAAGGGCAAATTGCGCATAACCTCTTATTTTGTGAGAACTCAATGAATGAGTGATGTATTTTGGGTGTCTCTATAAAAGTTTATCTTAATCAAGAAGGGGAGTTTGATTAGTACATTAGAAATAAAGGTGGGAGGGAGGGTGAATGAAATGGCACACACAACACAAACTAGACCAAAGGGCCAGGGCAGAGAGAGAGAGAGAGAGAGAGAGAGAGAGAGAAGGAAGTAACCGTTGAGGAACCACAAGATCTTAAAAATCCAAAAGAAAAGGTAAGGGAGAAAGAGAGGTTTGATTGGTTGGTTCATGGTTGTTGTGGTGAATAGAAAGAGGCTCACGAGATACTTGGCTTTCTTTCTATTAACTCTGAAAATTATTCCCTCTGCCACTCTGGCTGCTACTGCAAATCATGAATCCCATCTCTCTCTCTCTCCTCTTTACTCAATTTTTTTAATCAAAATCCTACACTACTCCTACTCTTCCTTTAAAAAAAGGAGACAACTTGTAGCGAACCATAATTATTCATTTTTTTGAGGTTTGAAGGAGACTAGTTGAGAATTACATCATATTTGTGACCACAATTAAACAGATTCATAAGCTTATAAGTATCAAACTCAAGACCTCCCGTTTTTTATTTAAGAATCTGCTATCTGCAATTATCCAATCGACTACTTGTTGTGGTTACTACTATTCCTATTTAGTTATTATGTTTCATCCACATATGCTTGAGTTTCGTAATTCAAAGGTCAAATAAGGCAGCCTATTGGGAGCTTTTAGTGGTAATTTGATACTATAACAACGTTCCAGAAGTAAAATGATGAGCATAAGGCGAGCAGTAAACTTAAGCAACAGTCAAGTAGTAGAATAATGAGTATGAAACGAGATGTAGTTCATATTTTGCAAAGGATAAAAACAACAATTGAGTAGTAAAAAGATGAGCATGTAAAAGTTAAACAACAAAACAGATAAGCATGAAACGAATTGTAAACTTAATCACAATTTAAGCATTTGAAAAGAGTAAAATCTCGATTGAGTGATAAACGAATAAGCACGTAAAGGATGACCATACGACATATGCTATAAACTTAAATTTAGTTTAAAGTTTTGAAAAAAGGTAAAAACAATGGGTGATTGATAAAAAAGAGGATGGCAGTGTGACAAGATGTAAACTTAAACACCA